TGTTAGTTTGACAGATATTTTGGTTTTGGCGATGTGGGGCTTAAAAAAGAGAAAGGTTCAAAGATGATGTATAAATTGCTGACTGGTGCAATTGAAATTGATGAGGATGTAGTTGATGAACATGGAGAAAAATGGAAAAGAGCAGATTTTTTAACAAGAGACTGAGCTCAGTTTGAAATGCAGTAATCAGAAAGTGCACACCATTTTACATTTTACCTCTGTGTGGGAGACCACATGGAAGGTTTATATTCAGAGGTCTGTTCTGTACAGATTTGTTTTAGAAAGATTCTTATGAGAGTGGAGACCTACTTAGTTGTTATCTGTAAGCTTTTTTTTTTTTTTTACTCAAAAAATCTCATTTCTCTGCTTTTGTATCCCCCGTATGTGTAAGAAGAGTAGTTGGGACTTTGGTATACAATAAATAATGCTAAGAGAATGAATGCTTATAGGGAAAGAGACGAAAAGGTCTAGGAAGCAGTAGATAAATTCTGGAAGGTTGGGCTGGGGATTTAGCTCAGCGGCAAAGCGCCTGCCTGGCAAGCGCAAGGTCGTGAGTTCGGTTCCTGGTACCAGAGAAAAACCAAAAAAAAAAAAAAAAAAAAAAAATTCTGGAAGGTTCCAGGGTATACTCAACAGAGGTTGGGTGGAAGATGGAAAAAATTTTTCTTTCTCCTCCTTCACTTTATATATTGAAGAACTTTTTAATAACACCATAGGGTGGCAAGTCAAAATATAGACAACCATAAATTTATTTATGATTTTTTCCGAACTTTATTTATCTGAACTCTATAGATAAGCTGTAATTATTATCATAGTAGCTGGAAACAATATATCTGTAACTGTAGTTCTTTCTCTTCTGAGTTCTCAAGCCTGGAATCCTTCTAATCCTGACTACTCTGGTGGTGGGGGAAGTTTTAGCAGAAAAGGACTCTTGCAGGACGGCAGCAGTAGCTTGGTGTGTGATGCTGTCCAGAAGTGGAGTTTAACTTAGATGTTATTAACATGTTACCCATTTTACAAAGAAGCTGTAAGCCGTAGAAGGACTTGCCAAAATGTATGCAACCAAGCTGTGTGAGCTCAGGTTTCTGCATATATTGGATTGGTACTTTCCACAATTGATTTTATTTATTTAGTAGTGCTGGGGATCAAATGTAATGCCTCACATATGCCAGGCAAGTGCTCCTCTACTGAGCTACATCCCAGCCTGTGACCTTCTTTTTGTGTTGTGCAAAGCACTATCAGTTTATTTCATCTATGCTTTTTGCTTTCAACGCTGTTCAGAATACTATCTCTCAACATCTCTTTCCATTTACATTTTCAAACGGTACCTTTTTTCTCCTTGTTTTCATAACTAATGTGTAGGGAACAATTGGTTTATTTTGCAGGTATTCTAGGTATAACTAGGCTGGCCTTGTGCCAGTAGTGCTAGGCACTGTGGAATGCAAGAAGCCCACCTTCAAGCAGACAGCCCTGGGCCTTCTTCCTTCGTGTGTGCTGTGGGGCACATGTGGGCTCAAGGGCAGGGTGGGGTGTGGAGCAGAGGGGGCAACAGATGGAGCTTAGATAGCACATTTTCAAGACTACTTCGAGGAAAATAAAGGAAACTACTTAAAATTCCACGCTTTCTAGAAGACTGAAACTGGGTCCATAGTCAGGCAGCTGAGGCAGGAAGCCCCCCATGAGTTCAAGGCCAGCTGGGCTGCATAGTGAGTTCAAGTGCAGCCTGAATTTCAGAGTGAAAATGAATGAATGAATGAATGAAAGAAAAGAGAAGAAAAAGGAAATAGGGTCCATTCCACTACAATAGTAACCATTTTACTATATATCCATCTTATAACATCATGTTATATATTTTAAATATACACAATAAGATTTATTTTAAAATAAGGAAAAATTTGTGTCTAGGGTAAATTCCTTCCTTGTGATTACCCTCTGTGTTCTAGGTGCTATCAGGAGAATGTCAGGATACCCGTTTTATGGATGAGGAAACTGTGGCTTGGCAAGTTTCAATATCTCTCTGAAAGTCATCTGGGTAACCCATGATGGAGCTGCATTCACATCCAAGTCTTTTCTGGCTGCAAAGTTTGTCCTTTTAGTAACCCCACCATTCCCCATATTTCCTGCTATATAAATAACTTTTTTTTCCCTAGTGCTAGCGATCAAACCCAGGGCCTTACATAGGATAGGCAAGCACTCTTGCCTGTGACCAAAACCCCCCAGCCTATGACTAACACCACGCTCAGCCGTTTTGTTTTGTTTTTGAGACAGGGTCTCACTACATATTTTGAGCTGGCCTTGAAATCACTATGTAGCCCAGTTTGACCTCGAACTCCCAGCAATCCTCCTGCCTCAGCCTCCCCAGTGCTGGGATTGCAGGTGTACACCACCATACCCAGCTATAAGTAACTTTTGTCTTTTGTATTTTCCTCTTCTCCAACTTCAGAATCTTTCAAGGATCATGCAGTTATTGAGTAGCAGCTCTAAAGTAAAAGACTGGGTGTCTAGGCTAGAAGTCACCATTTGACTGGGAAGAGACTGTAGGGATATGTCAGGCGGGGCACTGTTGGAAGGGAGACCAAGAACACTCTCCTCTGGCTTTTCAGGAAAGCATAGTTGCCTGTCGTTTTGCCCTAAGGGCTTGTCAGGGCCTCCAGAGCATCAATTTTCAGTCTTGAAATTCCTCATGAGTAAAAGACTTTAAGGACTTAGAGAAATTCCACAGTTGTCACAGTGGCTTACACACTGGGAATTGCCTTCTCAGGAAGCAGACAAGGTTCATATCCTGCAGCTAACTTTCAATCGGTATATTTGGCTTCTCTGTGCACCTTTTTTTTTTTTTTTTTTTTGGATACCAGGAATTGAACTCAGGATCTTGCACTTGCCAAGTAGGTGCTTGCGCCACTGAACTGTATCCCTGGCAGCAATTTTTGGCTTCTGATTTTGTTAGCAAATCAATACATTAGAATAAACACTAATAGAAATACTCTAGAATGAAGGGTTTCCATTTTAAATATTACATAATAGATTTTATTGGAATTGTGAAGACTGTTAGCAGAAATAGATATATAGGGCCTTGAGAAGTTTCATTCACATTTGTTCCGACTTTTCATCTTGAATTTGTGTGACACTTAGCGCCTGAAACAAGAGTGTGAGTCGTTGTGTGTTTATTATATGGAAGGCAAACTGAAAATTCATCTAAGGTTCTAAAGGGATTGAAGAGCTTAGAAGATAAAACAACCTATCAAGAAAATTCAAGGAAGAAGGTATTGGGATACAATTTCAGGCAGACGTCCCCACCTGGTGGTGATCAGGAGTTAAGCCTTCTGTATTTGTACTATTGCCTCAGTAAGTGAATGCTTTGTCAATGAATTACATTCTTACTATAATAATTGTAGGCTCAAATTTTTAAGAATAATTTTTGCCATAGCAATCTAGTATTTCTTCACTAAAATGACTGTCAAATCTCGCAGGCTAACCAAAGAATTGTCTGTGTTTGCAGAACTGAAGTGTTCCTTATTCCAAACACATCCTGTTTATCATTGTAAAGCATCAGTTTGTGTCTTTTCTTCTCTTTATTGCAACTGCTAATTTTTATATCAAGCTGATTTTATGTGGTAAATTTCTGTGGAATGAGGGAGATGGAATTATTTCAGATTTTTTAGTAAGTCTGGCAGATGTCATTAAAAGTAAGTCTTTTTTCATATATAATCTATGCAGAAGACTTTGAGAATTTTCCAGAGTGATTATTAGGATGAACAGAGTTGTCAGGGGATGGGAGAGTCAGTAATAGTTTATTAAAATTCATATGTGAGATATCTCTTTTGTTCCAATAAGCACCAAAACAATTGTATTGTTTGGCAATTTTGAATCTAGATAATTCTACCATTGGGTAAAGCAGGGACATCAGCCTAAGGGGAAAGGATCCTGTGAAATTAATGTGGATGCATATTTTATAGGCCTGGAGGGGAGCAGGGGACACAGTTTTCAGTTTCAGGGTGAGCTTTAGGCCAACATGCCACGTCTGTATCTTTTTTCCTTTTAGGAAAACAGGATCCAGGCCCACTGTACTGTAGAATCTCTTGGGGGAGACTGTTTGTGTAAGGATGCTAGGCTAACTGGAATGTGACTTGGCTTTGCAGCCTTTTGGTTTTTTCTTTCTGTGTTGCAGAGTATTATAATATCTGCATTTCAGCCCTCATCCTTGTACAGTGTAAAAACTGCTCCTGAGTAAATGTCAACATCTTACATAATTCTGTTTATACTAAGTGTCTCTGTGGCAAGTCCATAGAAACAAACGCAGATCCGTGGTTCCCAGGGGCCAGGAAGTAAAAACTAGGAGTGATGGGAGTGCCTGCTGCTAATAGGTTCAGGTTTTCTTTTAGGTGATTGAAAATATTCTGAATTTAGGCCAGACATGATGGCATGTGCCTATAGTCCCAGCTACTTGGGAAGCTGAGGTAGGAGGATCCTTTGAACTCATAAACTTACGAGTTTGAGACCAACCTAGACAACGTAGCAAGACTTCACCTCAAAAAAAAGCCAGATGTGGTGGCATACGCTTGTAATCCCAGCACTCTGGGAGACTGAGACGCGAGGATCTCAAATTTGAGCCTAGCCTGGGCTCAAAAAATAAAAGAACTAGGGATATAGCTCAGCATGAAATCTTAGGTTCAATTTCCAGTACTACAAAAACAAAACAATTTAGGGAGGGATAAAGGAAGAGAAGGAAGGAGAAAGGAAATGTTCCAGAATTTGATAGTGGTGGTCATTGCACAACTATCTGAATATGCTAAAACCTACTGTACTCTACTCTTAATTTAAACTAAAAAAAAAAAAAAAAAAGGTTCTGTGGAGGAATGAACAAATTAACAAAGAGGCCATTGTGATTAAAACCTTTCACTTTTGTTCCAGCAGAAATGTTGCTTGATAATCTAAATATTATAGTTTGGGCCTTGAATATTATAAGTTATACTTGACTGTCTTGTTCCTGACCCTCACAGGGCCACGATGGGCCTCCTGGAACATTGGTGTGTTTATCTGCATTCGATGTGCTGGAATCCACAGGAATCTGGGGGTGCACATATCCAGGGTAAAATCAGTTAACCTCGACCAGTGGACTCAAGAACAGATTCAGGTACTTACACAGCTAAGGGAGGGTCAGCTGTTCCCATATATCCTGTACATAAATGTAGTTCCAGATGAATCTCAGGCAAACTGGGCACAAAGGTAATCGTGGAAGAAAATTTAGTTGTTAAACACTTAAGTCAGATTCTTGGCCAGGCATGGTGGTGTACGCCTATAATCCCAGCACTCGGGAGGCTGAGGTAGGAGAATCGTCATGAGTTTGAGGCCAGCCTGGGCTACATAGTGAATTCAAGGGCAACCTGGACTACACAGTGAGACCTTGTCTCAAAAACCAAACAAACAAAAACCAACCAAATTCTTGTACCTTAGTAGAGAAATTTTAAATCTTATTTAAAGTACATGTTATTCTACCTATATTTTGCTTCTTTTAAAACACAAGCAGAGCTGAATGTGCTGTAATCCTGTTACTCTGGGAGGTTGAGGCAGGAGTTCTGCAAGTTTGAGCCTAGCCTGGGAAGCTTAGCACTTTAGTGCAACCCAGTTTCAAAATAAAAGTGAAAAACCACTGGGGATGTAGCTCTATGTTATAGCCCTGAGTTCACCTCTCAGTAATGCAAAAAAAACCCCCAGCCAAACAAACAAACAAACAAACAAACCAAAAACTCCACAAATAATCTGTAATCTAGAACCTCATGAGGACATAAAAGGATTAAGAAGTATCTTTGGATTATTTTCTAAGACCTTTGACATTTGTAGATCTAGCATTTATAGTTTTAGATGCAGGCATTCACTTAAAAAAATAAAAAAATTCCCAGCTGTGGATTTAGCTCATTGGTAGAGCACTTGCCTAGCATGAGATCTTGGGTTCAAAGCCCAGCACTACAAACAAACAACCTCCCAAATCAAAGTACTACAGTACTTACAGTACTATTTTATTGCTAAAATGAATGTATGAATCTTTTGTGGTTTTTTTTTTTTTTTGAGACATGGTCTCACTATGTAGTTGGGGCTGGCCTTGAGGTCACTGTGTAGCCCAGGCTGGCCTCGAGCACATGTCTTGCTTCCTGCTAGCTTTGTGAGCTAGACAAGACTTTAGTCAATAATTTCAGCTAACCTAGGGTCTGCCCCTTGCTTTTGTTGTTCTCTATTCCCTGTCTACTTGAAGAACTTCAGTTTTTTTCTCATGGTGCAGGGTTAAAGTGGAGGGCCTAAAGAAAACTAGTTGCTAAAGTTGGTGACAGAAATAAGAGGTTATTTCAAATCAGAAAATACCCTTAGAAATGTTCAGACTGTATTAATAGATCATTATAGGGTCTTAAATGGTGAGTTGCATTTTTCAGTTATGCTTTACTTACCGTATGTTATGAAGGAAGTTACAAACCATGGGGGTATCTGGGAATTTGAAGACTAGAAGCTCTTGGGGTTTATCCTTCACAGGTGTTAAGGGATGTATTTCAAAAGTCTAATGAGAAATACACACGTACTAGTAATGGAGCTAATTAATACAAGAGTATAAAGTTAGAATTATGACACCCATTATTGGCTGCCAACTAGATATTTTGATTGGGAGCTATGTATCTTGGACTTTCAACTGAAATGCTGAATTATTACTGAGTTAAATGTATCTTAGCAGGACAATCTTTCTACAAAAGGAATTCATAGAGTTAGGAAAGACAGTTGTGGGGACAAGTGATTGGAAATTCCTAGCAGGGTAGTGAGAATCATGGATTGGAAACCAGAATGCACAAGTTTGAATATTGCTTCTGCCTCTCTCTAGGTTGGTTCTTCAACTGTAAAATGGGAGAATTAGATGGAACAGTTTTCTTTCCTAATCTGACATTCCATGTTTCTACATTGTCTTTGATCACAGTGCATGCAAGAGATGGGAAATGGAAAAGCAAATCGACTTTATGAAGCCTATCTTCCTGAGACCTTTCGGCGACCTCAGATAGACCCGTATCTTTTCTGGAGCAACTTAGAAGGCTAAGTGGTATTTTGATGATTGGGGAGAATTAGACAAGACTGAAGGCTTTATGATCTAAGTAGGCCATCTCTGTATGGGTTAATCAAAGGCCTGGCTTTCCTTTCTTCTGCAACCAAAACATCAGAAAAAGTGCACATACACTTGCTGATGTTGGGATTGTTATATAGGGCCACATAGGGAAGACTCAGGAATTAGGACTGTATGATTTCCATGTGAATTCTTCCATAAAGTTACATCTCCATTAGTTTCTAGATCTCTGAAACTGTTGTTTGATAAGAATAATAGTTTATTGTGCTCTGTTGAACCATGGCAGTCCACAAACTACCGTTCATTTTTATTACCTTCTTAGGTCTTGTATGAACGAATTAACTGTAGACCAGTTTTATATAGGGAATCCCTCTAACACAGTGAAGCAAACATTTTAGAGCTTTCAAAGATGCACACAGCCCTCTGTGGCACGTGTGGCACAGATTCGCCACCCCTGCCCTAACACCTGGACAGAAAACCAAATCCCATAAAGATGTTGCTTCTCAAAGTATAGTTTATAGACCACCTTTTTCTCTTTTTGGTACATGGAAGGTGAACCTGCAAACTTCAGGTTTAGGACCCTGCACAGACCCACTTGAAAATGTGGTAGTGAGGCACATGAGTTTGTATTTTTGAAGAGGACTTAGGTGACTTTGAGTCCTGTTGATCTAAGGGCTTTAACACAGATAACTGACTGCTTTGCCTGTATTCTTGAACAGCCACTGATACCTCTGATAGCAATGTGCAGGTTGACCTGACTTGCTGCTGTCATCACTCTAAAAGGAAAGCACAGGAAATAATGTTTCCCTGCAGTAACCTTGAAGGCAGCATTTTAAGATTTTGGGCAAGGAAGCTGGATAGGAAGAGACAAGAATCTTATGGGGAAACCAGGCAGAGGGAAGGAAGTGAACTGTACTTCATGGGGTACAAATTAACCTTTCATATTCTTATTGTTGGAAAGACTTGATTAATCCTTAATGAGCCTTCTGCAGAGCAGTTGAGGGATTTATTCGAGATAAATATGAGAAGAAGAAGTACATGGACCGAAGTCTGGACATCAATGCCTTTAGGGTTGGTTGTAAATCTTTCAAGTTTTTTCCTAATAAGTAACTTGCTTATTAATCAGGCCAAGGAGGAATTTGAAGAACTGCTAAAAAAATACTCCAAAATCATCACTTGTGTGTGAATAATGCAAGAGTAGAAAAAGGTAATGAGTAAAGACCATGCAATATCCTTGAATAAACTTTTGCCTTGAGGGTGGGCAGAGCAAACCACCAATGAATTCTTTGCCTTGCTCTATGTCTAGATGTGAGTGATTCCCAGTTGCAGATTTTTTCTTGAAATGAGCATGTTGGGCATAATAGGTCAAACAGAACGGTAAGTGTGTACATGTATGTGTATACATAACTATAGACCACCAGTTTACATCGATAGTACATGTATACTGATATATATGTACATGTTCTTTTTTTCTGTGAATAATGTAAACAGAACCAGGCGTAATTAAATCCGCAGAGTTTCCTGCAGTTTGACTAGTATATACTTGTACCTTTACCTGCCGATGACCAGTGTGTCAGTGGACTAATTGCCAAGGGGACCCATTCTTGTTCCTGAGAAGGGTTTCAGTGGGAAACTGACTGCCAGTTGCAAAGAATACATTCCGTCTCAAGCATGGTTAAGATCTGAAATATAGGACAGAAGCTGTGTGAAATGGGCATTAGCTGATAGATGAATTTCAGCATGGGCAAGTAACTACCAGATATTACATGTAGTTAGGGAAAAATAATTCCTGCCCAACTGAATATGAAGGGCTATTCTGTCACAGTCATCCAAAAAAAAAGACTTGGTCAGTTATATCATAACTGTTCCAAAGAAAGAAATAGCCCAGTGTACAGCTACAGTTTGAATGGCATTATCAAAAAGGATTTAGAACCAGAGCACAAGCATTTCCTTTTATTTGTAGAAAACTATGGTGTATCTGTCAAGCTCTGTTCATTGTGCCTGAAGTATAAAATCAGATGAGGTCAGGAAAGAGTATCTGAGGTAATCCAGAAGATGAGGAGGAGGGGAGGCTTGCTGAAAGAAGACAGTTATTAAGGTGTTCATCATTACATTGCAAAGGTACCACCCCCACGAAAGCAAGCCTTTTCCCTTGGAAAGGAAATACCTCCCTCCTGCTGACCAGAAAGCTGTATCAACATTGTTTAGGTTGATGTACTTAGATTTTTTTTATACTCGTATGAAGATTTTTATGCCAAGAATTGATATTTGCAAAGTGAAAATTTCAAAGAAAAAACTGGCTTTGTTAAAGAATATCCTTTGTTTGTTTTGTGGTGGTGCTGGGGATCAAACCCATAGCCTTGTGCTTCCTAGGCACAACCTCTGCACTACAGCCCCAGCCCAAGTATCCCTTTTTTTCTTCCAAGTATCCTTTTTTAATAGACATAAGATTTTCAACTGCAATTTAAAGTCTTCTGTGCTAAAGTGTCACACTCTGTATGAAAAAGACAAAGCTGTATGTGCTGTGGTTATAAAGCTATTTTTACAGAAAATGTGAAAATTAGAAATCTCTAGATTCTTACTATCTTTAGTAACGATTATCATCTTGATGCATTCCATTTTCTACGTATAGTTACTTTCTGGAGACACGATGAAAATACAACTATGTGGAATGTCTCCTTCTTCCATTCTACTTAACATGCCATACATTATGATGTTATAGCACCTCTTAGTGAGTAGGTGTATCATAGTTTGATATTCCCTTTCTATGCCATAAAGGTTATTTAGCCATAAGTAATTGTGAGATTAATATCTTGGTATGTATAACTTTTTTCATATTTTAGATTTTTTTTTTTTTTTTTTTTTGGTTTTTCTCCGGT